TGTGTGTGTGTGTGTGTGTGTGTGTGTGTGTGTGTGTGTGTGTGTGTTTGTGCGCATGTGCGCATTTGGGCACATGCACATGTGTGGATGTCAGAAGACAGCTTGGAGTCAATTCTCTTGTTCCATTATATGAGTTCCAGGGGTCAAACTGAGATTGTCAACTTTAGCAGCAAGCATCTTTACCTGCTGAGCCATCTCCATAGCCACTGACTTGTTTTTTGGTACAGGGTCTCATGTAGTCCAGGCTCACCTTGGATCCCTGATCCTCTTGCCATTATCTTCTGAGTGTTGGGAGCACAGGGGTATATCACCACACCCTGTTCTGTAGCAGTGCCTTAAGAGTATATTCCTTAAGAAACAGAATTGTGTATTCTAATGGCATGCATATTTAAAAGCGTTTTAGTATTTCTTTGAAAATTATTTTATTTCATGTATATATGGGGGTCTTGGTCTGTGTACCTCATGCATGCCAGAAGAGGACAGTGGATCCCCAGGAACTGGAATTACAGATGGTTGTGAGTGCTGGGGATTGAACATTCTCTCAAATCATAGTCAGACCTCTTACCTCTGTGTTATCTCTCCAGCCCCATGTTTAAAAATGTACTTAAACTGCTCTCCAAAAACGTTGTGTCAGTTTCAACTCTAACCAGCCATGGTAAATACACACCTCCCCTATGACAAAGTGTTTTTTAAAAGCCACTCAGGTAGTTTTGTTTTTTGTTTGTTTGTTTTTGAGACATGGTCTTTCTGTGTAGCCTTGGCTGTCCTGGACTAACTTTGTAGACCTCAAGTGGCCTCAAGTTCACAGAGCTCTGCCTGCCTCTGTCTCCCCAAGTGCTGAGATTAAAAGTGTGTGATACCTGGCTCAGGGTTTTTTCTGTTTATTTTCTGTTTGAACTTCCCCTTTAGAAAACAGACTATTTCCCCTATTTTTCTATTAAATTATGATTTTACATTTGATTTATAAGTATTGTTCTATGCCTTGAATACAGTCCTTTTTGTTTTAGAAAGTGTATGTGAACTTTGAGATCAAGGAAGCCCTTTAGAAATAGATATGGGGTCTGGAGAGAATGGTTCAGGGGCGAAGACCACTTGTTGCTCTTTTAGACACCCTGAGTTTAGATCCCAGCACCCACAACTGGCAGCTCACAACCGCTTGCAACTCCAGCTTCAGGGGATCTATTAGCTGCTTTGGCCTCTGTGGGCACCTGCACTCATATCACACATACAGAAATAACAATAGTAAATATGCTTGAAAATCTATTATGTCTATGACCCACCCACAGTGGTTCTCATTCATGTCTGATGGCTATGGATTTAGCATCTATATCTTTTAAAGTTTTTTTCCCCCCTTGAGACAAGATTTTTCTGTGTACACCCGGCTGGCCTAGAACTCAGAGACCCACCTGCCTCTGTCTCCTAACTGCTGGGAAGAAAGGCATGCACCACCACGGGCCAACTCTTTTAGAATGTTCAAAGGCTTAGTGATAGAGCTAGGGCATCTAGCATGTGAGGCCCTGAGTTTGATCCTCCTATGAAAGTATAGCAAGTTCCATAAATAACTAGAATAGACAGTCACATGTTAGAGCTACTGGAATAATTGGGGGGAGGGTCCCCACATGATTTTCATGATATTAGTGCCTAGCCTGAGAGCTAGATGTTTCTTCTGAGCTTAAGTCATGCATACTGATTGTAGAATACTTTTGGGGAAAATTAAATGATCATTCATGGATATGTACACTTAAAAGGAAATTAAGATAAAAGGATTTCATGTTCTATTTGACTTTTGATTATAAGTGGTAGCGGGTTCTAGTCACATACTAGGTGAACAAATATGTGACTGATTGACGGTAAATATAGTGAAAAACCCACAGACCTATTTGTTAGTCAAAAAAGTCATAGAAACTGCAGCCACAGTCCAGTGGCCTGTACTCAGTCTCTTTCACATAGACAAGAAGCTGGTAGTAAGGATGGTCCACTGTGAAGTCCTAAGCCTGCATCTCCCACCCCTTCCTGGCTTTTGTGGCTTAAGCGACAATCTGTGTATCACCCCCAGGGCCATCACTGTGCGCGTTCCCTTGCCCTTGGCAGGAGTCGTGGATATCCCCATCGTGGAGAAAGAAGTGAAAGGGCAGCAGCATCACCACAAGGTAGGTTAGGTGCCTCCCTGATGATGGGTTTCTGTCTCTTCTAGGGAATCATATCTTGATTTCTTTGGCTTCAGATGACGCTGTCCCCAAGCTACCATATGGACAATGGGAAAATGGTAAAGGTGCGGGCCAACCGGGATGCCCATGTTGCTGTAACTCAGTACCAGGTGCTTAGCAATACTCCCTCTTGTGCCCTCGTGGAGCTGCAGCCTGTTACTGGTGAGGATGTTTTGTTCAGGACTTTGTGCTGTATCCTTTTCATATTCTTGGCCTGATATTATGTAAAGTCTGTGGTATAGCTGAGCTGGATGACTCTGTGCTTCTGGTGCAGATCTGAAATTAGGGTTTCTGTGGGGATGATTGTGGGAAGAGTAGATGGAATACACTATGTATCCTACCCTGGCCTGGAGCTTGTACTCCTCCTGCCTCAGACTCCCAAGTGCTGGAATTATAGGAAGCTGTACCCAGCTTTAGGAAAACACGGTTTGAATAGCGTTATTTAAAAACACATGAAGCATTTCTTTTAAAAAAAAAAAAAATCTGATACAGCAATTTTACTCGGTATATATTAAAGAACTAAAGGCAGACATTTGCATCCCTCTGTTCATAGCAATAACCTGGGATGGATGAATGGAGAGATAACATGGGAAGGGTGTGTATGTTCAAAAACATGTTATTTTTAACCTTAGATGAATTATGAAATTCTGACATGTGCTACATGGATGAACCTTGAAAACATTATGCTAAGTGAAGTAAGCTAGACAGAAAGGACAGATTCTGTATAATTTCTCTCACGTGATGTCCTTAGAGTAGTCAGAGTTATAGAGAAAATAGAATCAGGCATTCAAAAAACTAGTGGTGAGGGGAACCAGAGTAGAGAATTAGGCAGCCATTGTTTTACTTTGTGGGTTTTAGTTTGGGAAGATAGGAAATTTTGAGCAATGGATAATGTTGATGGTTGCAAACAATGAAATGTAACTGATGCTTCTGAACTGTATACTTTAAGTGGCTCAAGTGAGAAATTTATGTGTGTGTGTGTGTATATATATGTATATATACATATATATATGTATATATATTAGCTCAGTAGTAGAGCACTTGCCTAGCATACACAAGACCTTTGGTTCAATCCCCAGCACTGCAGAAAAAGAAAAAGGAAAGTAGAAGGAGAAGAAAAAGAGGAAGAAATGTACAAGATTATAGTTTACCACTATAGAGTAAAATTATTAAAAAGTTAGGATAATAGTAGACACTAAGGTCATAATAGCTGTCCAGAGAATGTATATTTACTTCCTAAGCTGGCTGGTACTGCATAGCTTATAGTTTCCTCCATAATTCCTTATTGTAGTTAGTACTGCCAGTTTACTGTGCTTTGATTTAATATGGCTTAAAGTAGATGTCAGCAGTAGCATCATTTCTATTGCTCCTAATAAGTGTTGTTGTTTGTTTGTTTATTTCTTTCTTTCTCCTAAGGAATAAAACATCAGCTTCGAGTTCACCTGTCCTTTGGGTTGGATTGCCCAATTCTTGGTGATCACAAGTACTCAGACTGGAATAAATTGGCCCCTCAGGTAATACTGGCTGTATTAGTTTTCTGTTACTGTGATAAAACATCATGACCAAGGAAATTTATATATGAAAGAGTTTATTTTGGCTACTGCTCCAGAGGGATAAGAGACCGTCATGGTGAGGAAGCATGGCAGCAAGCAGCCAGCATGGTGGCAGGAACAGGGTGCTGAGAGCTCATATCTCAAATGTAAGCATGAAGCAGAAAGAGAGCAAACTGGGAGTAAGGCAAAGTCATAAGCTCCCACAGCCTGTGACACTCACACCAGTGACACTCTTCCTCTAATGCAGCAGTTCTCAACCTGTGGGTCAGGACCAACAGAAAACACTTCTGATGATGCTCTTAGGAACTAAGATAGCGCTCATTAGCAAAATTATAGTTAAGAAGTACAGTGAAAATAATTTTATGTTTGGGGGTCACCACAACATGAGGACTGTATTAAAGAGTCACAGTGTTAGGCAGGTTGAGAACCACTGCTCTAGCACACCTAAACCTCTCCAAGCAGCATCCAACTATGGACCAAGTGTTCAAAAGCCCAAGATTGGGGGCATTTCTCATTTAAACCAGTTGGTTTAACTCAGTGTGCTGTTTAGCAGAGTAAGAGAACCCTCACCATAGCCTCCTTGGTTTTGAAGAAAATATTTATTGAGATAATAAATAAATGAATGGCCTCACCCTCAGTATGTCAATCAGGAGTCCCCTTGGTCTTTTCTTCAATACAGGGTCTCACTGCGTGGCCTTGAACTCTCACAGATTCACCTGCCTCCATCTTCCAAGTGCTGGGATTGAAGGTGTGGGCCATACCCAGCCAGAACTTTTTTCTTTCCTTTGTTTGTTTTGAAGCAACATTGGAGTTTATTAACAAATGGTTTTAATATAGATACAAACATGAGCATCAAGAGAGAGGAAGAGAGATACATGCTTTACAAGAGGACATCCCCTAGAGTTAAGTGAGGGTTCTCAAAAAGAAATGTGACGTTTAAGTGTCTTAGCAATAGCGATGTATTTGTTTTTGAGTGCTTCTAAAATTATTGTTCAAAGCATTTGGAAGATAAAATGTTTTGATAAACTTAACGTTTTATTCTTTTCTTTTGTTAAAACCCTGAAGTAGGTAATGACAAGGAAGTATTGTCTCAAGAAGTATGGGAACATACTTCTTTTAGAGGCATCAGAGTAGTTACTGTCTTCCTAGAGCCAAGGGATATGTTCTCAGAACCGTAGATGTTGTTGGGAAACTGTGATAAGTAAGGTAAAAGCTGCCTTTCATGCTACAAAAGAACCATGGGGGAATCATTTGTATTAGTTGATATTAGCACCCATTTATTTGAAGGCCAGAAAACTGACCAGTAAGAGTTTCTCTGGTATGGCTCTAAGCCCTTCCTAGACATGACCATGTAGGAGGCTAGCTATTACTGGGTCTTCCATGGGTAATGCAGACACCTTTGCAAGTTAAAGACAGGTAGTCGTTGGCTGTGCTCATAAGGCTTTGCCTTTGCTCTGTGTAGAAACTGTCCGCTGGCACGCTGAAGAAGCTGGGGCTACAGCAGTCAAAGGCCCGCTACATCCCCCTTCACCTCCACGCCAGGCAGCTCATCCTGCCTGCTCTGGGCTCCAGAACCAAGGAACTCCTCCTGTCCTGTAGGCTTCCTCGCTTCTTTGTACATTCCCTGCGCCGTCTGGGTTTAGATATCCCAAATCAGGATCAAAGCAGAGGCAGTGAGGCCAAGGAAGCACAGTGAAGACTGCTGAGCAGTTCGTCCCCAGAGCTCTGCTGTATTTATTTCATGGACTCTGCTAACTTCTCACTTGGAACAGACAAGAAAAGAGCCAGCTGGGAGAAGTTGAAGAAACTTGGTCACTTCGGGACTTTTAATCAAGAATGAAGTCTTAGTTAGTGACAGTTCTGCTGTAATGTAGAACAGCCTGCTGGAAGTCTCTCCTTCATAGATCTCTTTGCCAAGATGGAAGAGCAGACAGATTGGAACAGTAAAGGAGAACCAAAGGATGGAATCTGTGTCCAGGAACTATCTTTATCCAATAGGAAGGAAAGCTGATCTATCAGGAGTCCTCCCTTGGAAAAAACGTCTTGAATACACATGTATCATGTACCATGTATTTTGTCAACTAGAACTAGGTGCCATACTGCCCTGGCAGTGAACCTGTGAAAGGGTTGTTTAGGCGAGGTAAATGACAAGCAGCTAATATGAGTGAGTGAAGTGGGCAGGATGGAAGGCAATGGCTGGGACAACAGACCAAGCAGATAAAACTGTTTCAGGGTTATTAGTTCCAGCTTATTGTTGCCCTGTGGGCAAATTTACTGTTTTCTTTTAGAGAACCAGGAAGTCCAGATATTTTTGTGAAATCTTCCAACCTGTTGCCAACTAAATAAAAACATTTTAAAATATACCTGTATTATATTTTTGAGATTATAATTACATCATTCCTTTTTCCGTCTCCTCCTTCTAGATTCTACCATGTACCCTGCTCATCCTCCCACTCTTTTCCACATCCCTGGCCTCTTTTTCTTTTTTTTCTAATTTGTGTTTGTGTGTATATATATATGCAGTCCTAAATACATAAATACAGTTTGTAAGTCTATATCAGCTACTTGTATATATGTTTTCAGGGCTGACATTTGGTATTGGATAACCAATTGGTTTGCTCTTCCCACTGTTTCTCTTGATCTCAGCATTCCTTAGTTGCCTGTAGTTCTTTGTGTAGGTTTAAGGCTTCATGAGCTTTCTGCCTTCCCCGTTAGCATGTCCACTGGTATCCTTGTTCAGGTCATAGTTAGGCAGCCATGGTGGTAAGACTTAATGGATGTAGCTTCTGACATTTCTAAGGGACATGATCTCACAGCAAACTGCCTTACCTTGTTGCCTTTACAATCTTTCCTCCCCATGTTCTACAATGATCCCTGAGCCGTTGGAGTAGGAGTTGTGTTGTAACATAAATCAGTTGGGACAGGGCTCTGTAACTCTACTTTTGATTAGTTGTGGGTTTCTGGAATGATCTTCATCTTTTGGAAAGAGAAGTTTCCTTGATGAGGGGTAAGAACACCTGTGAGTATAAGGACAAATATTTAGACTGAAGTAGGGATTTTAGTAAAGTGGCCAAAAAAATTTAAGACACTCAGTGAGGCTAGGGAAAAACAAAAAAACACAAGTAAAGTGCTTGCTATGCAAACATAAGGCCCTGAGTTTGATCCCCAGCACACATTTAAATGCCAGGCACAGTAACACATAGTTGCTAAGAGGCAGAGACAAGGATATCTGGGGCTTGCTGGCCAGGCAGTCCCATCAAGTTAAGTTTCAGATTCAGTGAAAGACCTTGTCTCAAAATAGCTTGATTGAGGAAGACCATGGCCTTCCTCTGGCCTTCACAGGCACATGTACCCAGATGTACGTATACATAGACACACATGTGCTCATGCACACACTTAGGAAGCTAACCACATACCTGTAGGTTGAATTTGGTCTTTACTAGGTTGAATCTGCTTAAATGCATGATTTGGAAGTTTAGGGAGAGAGACTTCTTGAAAGTTGTGTTTGACATTTCTGCTGCATGCAATGCTTGACTTTTCTAGGGATGGCTTTGGGTAATTCATGATCGTGGTAATGCGGGTGCTGCCATTTAATTAGTCCTTGGTTGGGGAACAGTTACATTCACCATGAAGAGGATGGTCATGCTGAGCACCCTTGCCGTGAAAATTTCATTGGCCTCCCATTCAACTGACATCCAGCTCTTATCTTGGTCTTTATAAACAATCTTTTTCTTAGATAACAACTCACAGTTTGGGCTGAGCTGGAGAAAGCTGGAGTGCCAACACATTGGGAAAGGCTTCAGGACAGCTTTTAAATGCTCTCTGTAAATGGAGTGGCCCCACCTTAGCCGTGGTTTCTTGTTCCATGGTTTCAGTTACCCATGTTTAACTGTAGTCTGAACAGATGAAGTGGAAATTTCTTAGACATAAACAATTGATAGGCTTTATGTTACACTCCATTCCGAAAAGTTTGATGGCATCTTTCACCACTGTTGTATTCTTTAATATTTACTATTAATTATCTTTTAGTAACGCTACTCTTAATCCTGAACAGCTGTATAACCAAATCACCACACAGAGACTGTGATTTATTTAGTTAACCTAGAACACAATGCTGGGCAATAGTTACTCCATCCTAAACCTCCAAGCCCTCATAGTTTCCTAACATTTAGATTCATCCATTATACTTGCTTTTTGCAATATATTAGGTCCGGTTCATTTCTCCACGTTGTTCCAAGACCTCTCCTCCTGACTCTGCTCTCCCAGCCTCTCACTCCTTCCTGTCCTCTGGCTCCTCCCCTCCTGCCTACTCCTTCCTCTCCATTGCTCAACATTGTGGCTGGTTATTTTATTTTAGCATGTTTACACAAAGTTGAGACAGGTGATGCTTAGAATAAGTATCACAATACAAGTAGCAGTTGACAGTTTGAGAGTGGTAAGCTACCCTAGAATACTGAGTATCCATATTGGAGACTGGGGTAGATGTATGCTCCGTAGATCCTCTGAAACGCAGGCTAGTTAACATCTTCATGATGCTCTCCACCAAATGGCTGTCTTGTTCCCTGTTGAGTGAATTACAGGGTGCCTTAATGACCAGAGACCCTGAACAACAACCTAGCAAAAGTGTGGTTTTTGGTTGGATGGACAAGAAGAAAGCATGTTTTTTTTAAAGTTATTATATTTAATATAACATTTCTAAATATGAAGTATCCTTGGAAATTAACATTTAAACTTACACCATAAGAAATACCAAATAATGGGTAATGCAGGACAACTGTAATTATTGCCATCTAAGCATTAGCAGAAAGGAAACCATTGCTGACCAGTACCTCACACAGGAAAGGGCAGTTATCTTAGGGTTTCCATCGCTTCGATAAAGCACCATGACCAAAAAGCAGGTTGTGGAGGAAAGGGTTTATTCAGCTTACATTTCCATAGCCCTGATTGTTCATAATTGAAGGAAGTAAGTGTAGGAACTGGAACAGGGCAGGAACTTGGAGTCAGAAGCTGATGCAGAGGCCACAGAAGAGTGTTGTTTGCTGGCTTGCTCCCCTGGCTTCCCTGCCTGCTTTCTTATTGAACCCAGGACCACCAGCCCAGAGTTGGCCTTGCCCACAATGAGTTGGGTTTTCCCCCATCAGTCACTAATTAAGAAAATATCTTACAGCTGGATCTTATGGAGACATTTTCTCAATAAGGTTCCCTCCTTTCAGATAACTGTAGTTTGTTCGAAGTTGACGTAGACTAGCCAGCCAGCACAGCTGTTTCAGAGTGTGGCAGTGAGTAACAGGGTAGGGTGTGGTTTTGGGAATTCCAGGGGCAATCTGGTGAGAGGATGTACTCTACTCTGGATGTGTGAGGAAGATAAGATATAGAGTCTTATCTTCTTATCAAGCCATCAAGCAAAGGACATTTTCTATAATGGTGAATCCCGGACAGTTTGGAATCAGAGCCTGGTAGAGTAGTCTGAGGGGCCCCTGGATGCCAGATGCTGCAAGTTGCTGAAGTGATTGAGATACTCTAGGAGGAGTCAGCAGACATTCTCTGTGAATGACCAGGTAGTAAATACTTTAGACTTGGCAGGACATACTGTCCTTGTCACAACTGCTCTGTCAAGGAAACCAACACCAGACAAAATGTAAATAAATGGGTGAGGCTGTGCTCTAATAAAATTTTATTAGTGGACTCTGGAATATGAAAGGTATGTAATTTCCATGTGTCAATAAATGTAATAGCCCAGGCTGCCATCAGAGAATAGCACAGATTGGTGGATTCAATAGTCCACACCCAATGATCACAGCCCTAGAGGCTGCAAGCCCAAGATCAAGGTATGGGCAGGTCTGTTTTCTTTTTGGCCTTCTCTCCTTGCCTTATAGATGGATGAATGTCTGTCCACGTATGTTTCTGACATCTACACAAACATCATTCACATTAATCAAGGTGTTGTCCTTTTCCCCTTGGGCCTTCTCTCCTTGCCTTATGAATGTCTGTGCATGTATGTCCCTGATGTCTATGCAAACATCAATCACATCAGTCAAGGTGTTGTCCATATGGCATCATTGACCATAACTATTCCTTTAAAGATTCTTTCTATAAATATAGTTACATTTGGGTTTGGGGCTTATATTAGTTACTTTTCTGTTGCTGGTATAAAACACAATGACCAAAAGCAGTCTATGGAAGAAAGAGTTTATTTTGGCTTACAGTTTCAGAGAATTGGTGTTCACACCGTATAAACTGACGACATGGCAGCTCCATGGTGTGGTTGAGAGAAAGGTTTTTATTGTAGATGTGAGGGAGAGAACATCCAGAGGCATCTGAAAGAGTTCAGAGCAGAGAAAGAAAGTAGTAGAGTGAACATGGCCAGCAGATTGGGCCTGGCCAGGAGAGAAACAGGAACAGAGTAGAGGGGTGGGGGGGGGGAGATGAAGACGAAGAGAGTACAGGAAAAAGAGAAGACTAAAGAGAGACAGGATCAGGGAAGAGGACAAAGAGGCTATAAGAAAGGGATGAGCAAGCATAGTTGCAATGGCAGGGCTGTAAGGAGAATGAATAGCGTTGGGAGGGAAGCTTCTGAGCTGGTGGAAGTTTAGGGAAGCGGGAGGGTGGGACTAGCTGAGAAGAGTCAGTATGCTAGCATGGACTCTGAAATGCCCTGTACAGGCACTACTGAGGTATTCTGGAGGCCAGCACATGCTTTAGGCCCCAGAGATAACATTTTTTTTTTCTTTTCTGCCAATGCTTCGGGAAATGGCTCTTTTGGTAGAGAGGAACCACCTCCCCGAGTTCCCCAGGAATGCTGGCTTTAGTCTAACCAGCAGAACTGGGGGAATGGAGTTTTCTTTGGGGTTGACAGTACTGGCAGGGGCACCACTGCAGCGGGCAGCTGGAGCAGGAAGGTTTGAAATCACACCTTTCACCATAAACATGAAGTAGAGAAAAGAACTAAAAGTGGAGCATGGCTATGAACACTCAAACCCTGCTTCTAATGATGTACGTTCTTACGGCAAGGCTACACCACCTCCCCAAAGAGTGCCATCAACTGGGAAACCAGTGTTCAGATACCCAAGCTTATCTTACTGGAGACTTTCTCATTCATACCACCACAGGGCTTTAATACATGAATTTGGAGGCAGAAAGCACAATTCTGTAGAAAAATATTAAGAGTTACCCTTTTTATTTTAACATTATATTTAAAAATCTAAAAACTAGTCTTAATTCACAGTAAGTCTTAGTTTGCTTTTTGTTGTTATGATGAATATCATGACCAAAAGCAACTTGGGGAGGAAAGGGTTTATTTATTTCATCTTATAGGCAAGAACCTGGAGACAGAAACTGAAGCAGAGAAATGATTCTTACAG